CCCAAGATGCACCCTATCTGGCTGGAAAAAAAGGAAAAGGGCAAGTACCTACAATGACAAGCAAATTCTTGCCGGTTCTGTGGTTCCTGCTCCCAGCAGGGTTTCTATTCCCTGCAAGAGCCAGGCAGAGGCAGCTGCCTGAGAAGGGACGTAACCAAACAGTGCAGAAGACAAGACCTAGAGTCCAGCCTGGAGCTGCTTCAGCCCTTGGAGCAGAGGCAGGTGTGAGGTGGAGCACAGGTTCTCCAATCCTGACACTTGCCCTGTTCCTACTGAAGACAGACAAGGGTGACATGGTCCAACAGGGACCCTGAGAGCCGGATGCTTCTTTTATATAGGCTGAGCAACAGTTTTAGAGAGACATGAACCCTGATGCTGGAAGGGCTCTAACTGGTCCCTTAAGACAGGTCAAAGGCAGCCCTCTCCTATATATCCTAATGATGGGGGTTCACTCCAGCTCAGTTCAGGCCCCATCAAACTTGTGCTTAGCTTGATGCTGGCACCGAGTGTTGCCTTGAACTGCCGCCTACATTTTCCCAACACATATAGAAAGCACACCTTTCCATTCTGTGCCCCTTCATCCCCTGGCTGTGCTTAGCACAGTCAGGCCAGGGGTCAGATGGTCTAAGTGAATTCCCTTCGGTGTTCCAGGAGTCAAATTTCTGGGAGTAGAATTGCGTTCTTCTCAGTGTTTTTCTTGGAAGATGCTCAAGCATCTTGCTTTACCTAGAGATGAAAGGCGAGGATGGTATGTATGGCTGTAGACACGACTACAAGATTGGCATTTACACTTTATAGTTGTTAAGAGTATCTGTGTTAACCAAGCACCAGACTGTCAGCATAGAAAAAGATCTGAAGTTTAGCTTGAATGCTAAAGTTTACACAGAAAATGCCCTGTGGAGCAAATTTCCTCTAGGATACCATTGAAAGGCCTACTGTCCATCACTTCTGAGTGGTCCAGAGGACAGCTAGAAACAAAATGATTCTGTGGAAAGGGATAAGAAAGGGCTCAGTGCCTCTTCAGTGCCTCTTTGCTCAGTGCCTCTTCAGTAAGCCACCCTCCTCTCTGCTCTGAGTGACTAAGATTGACATGGTCCTTTCCTTTCTCAGGACAAAGTCCTTCGTGTCCAGCCTCGAGCTACACAGGTGTCAAAGGCTGTGCCACCTTGTTGGCCTGGCCAGGTCTTGCCTGTCCTGAGCCTCACACATCTCTCCCATGTGCAATGGTCACCTTTCTACTGTACCTTTCCTGTCTGTCTTTGGCCACAGTGGCTGCCTCTGTGTCTGTGTCCCTGACCTCCACTACAGTCTCCATAAAGCATGTAATATGAATTTATTCGCAATCCCTATGGATAAACACCTCAGTTCCATTTCCATCAACCCACTCAGTGGAAAGAAAGAAACAACTCCCCAAAGTTGTACTCCCTCAATACTAATACTACTGCCACCTCTCTCCCTCTCCCTCTCCCTCTCCCTCTCCCTCTCCC